TTTGTCTCTAAGTGTAAAGCCACTCATCCACCTAATCATTCTCATCTCGGCAACACTTAACTTATTATTATGTTTCTCTTTTAAAGGCCAACATTCAACACCATAGAGCATTGCAGGTCTCACCATCGTCTTATAAAATTTTTCTTTTAGTTTAAGCTGTACTTTTCTTTCACACAAAAGGCCCGAAGCATTCCTCCACTTCAACCAACCAACTTGAATTCTGCTATTAACATCCCCACCTATATCCCCATCGCTTGGAACACCGGACCCGAGAGGTATCTAAATCGTTCACACCTTTTAATAATTTGATCACCCAAAGTCACACTTCTGTCACTAGAGCTACTACTATTAAAACTAAATTCCATGTATTCAATTTTAGTTCTACTTAAATGAAGACCTTTAGACTCCAACGTAGACCTCCATAATTCAAGTTTTTCTTTGGCTTTTTCTCTCGTTTTATCCACAAGAAGGATATCATCAACAAAAAGCATCACCAAGGTACATCCTTATGTAGATGTCTAGTAAGACCATCCATAACTAAAGCAAAAAGATATGGGCTTAAATCCGATACCTGATGTAATCCAACAGAAATAGGAAAATATTTGGTCAATCCTTCTTCAGTTTGAACACAAGTAACAGCTCTAGTATACATATCTTTAATGACTTGAATATAAGTCATATCAGAACCTTTCTTCTCAAGAACTCTCCAAAGGATATCTCTTGGAACCTTATCGTAAGCTTTTTCTAAATCAATAAAAATCAAATGTAGATTCTCCTTATTATCTCTGAAATTCTCTATCAAACCTCACAATAAATCTATAGCTTCCATGGTAGACCTGCCCGACATAAATCTAAATTGATTATGAGAAATTTTTGTAATGCGTCTTAACCTATGTTCAATTACCCTCCCCCATAACTTTAAAGTATGACACATCAACTTAATTCCTTTATAATTTGCGCACTCTTGTGCATCTCCTTTATTCTTAAAAATAGGGACCAAAATACTCTTCCTCCACTCCTCAGGCATCTTTTTAGTTTTTAAAATAATATTAAAGAGTTTAGTAAGCCAAGAAACTCCCAAATCTCCTAAATATTTCCACACTTCAATTGGGATATCATCAGGTCCTACAGACTTTCCACCCTTGGTTTTCTTTAAAGAGATCTCAACTTCTTTTTTTACTAATGCGATGGTAAAAATGAAATGTTTTATTATTATTCATGATATTAAAATCACTAAGGTTGATCGTATTTTCAGAAACTTAATTAAAATGTTTAACAAAGTAACTCACCCATCTATGTTGAATATCTTTTTCTAAGAAAAATACTTTTTGATTTTTATTTTTAATACACTTTACTTTTTAATACACTTTACTTTACTTGAGGTAAATCTTTACTTTTATTTTCTCTTTATTTGGCTAGTTTATACATATATTTTTCACCCTCTTTAGTATCTAATTTATTATAAAGATCATTAAAAGCAAAATTTTTAGCGTCACAGATTGTTCTTTTTGACTCCCTGCAGGCCATTTGATATTTTTCCCAGTTCTCTAAGTTTTTACATTTAAATCAATTTTTATAACATAACTTCTTATATTTTATCTGTTTTTGTACATTATTATTCCACCACCAACTATTTTTATTAATAAAAAGTTTTTCTTTAGATTCTCCAAGCACATCCTTTACTACTTGTTTAATAGTATTTGTTACTTTATCCCACATGACATTTGCTTCATCATGAACATCCCAAATTTTGAAATCTTGAATTTTACTAAAAAAATAGTTTTATTTGTGTCTTTTATGTTTCCTATCTAGTTCTACGATGATGAGTCTTAGTATTCTTTATTTTGCAACTCTTCATCTTAAAATCTAGAACTAATAAACGTTGTTGGGTACTTAAATTCTCTCTTGGAATGACCTTACAATCTTTACAATGTCGACGATCTCTTCTTCTCATAAGAAAATAATCAATTTGTGTTTTATTAGATCCACTCTTATAAGTAATAAGATGCTCATCTCTTTTCATGAATAAAGTATTAGTAATATAACTCCAAACTTTGTGGAATTTTTTATATGCTTGCTCTCTTCAATAACTGATTGCATACTTTTAAAATCTGGCTTAATTTATAGTATGATATGTATATACACACACACACCCACACTCCCACCCTCCTCACACACATACATACACACATATAGATTAGATTTAGATGTGACTTGTTCCTTAAAATAGAAAATAACTTTTCCATCTAAATGAATAAAATTTAAAAAAAAAATTTCAGATAGCTCCATTTTGAAATGTTCTCTCCTTTTTTTTGTAGTTACGATAAGTTACTAGATTTTACTTGCACATTGTGGCTTAATCTAATGCATATTGATCTCTAAGTCATGCTAGCCTGGCCAAAATAGTAAGAAAGGGCGAAGGGTGCGGTGGCATGAACTAGGGGTGGGGGTTGATGAAGTTTGGCTACCGTATAATCATAATCAGAATTTGAGGGAAAATTTGAAATAGCACAAAAAATAATGTCTGTTCATGTGCACCTCAGTGAGATTAAGGTTAGATTATGATACACTTTTGCTCAATATAAATTATTTTGAGTGGTTTTTACTCATATTCATAATGAGTAGCTTATCCAGTTTTGGAACTACTGAAATATAGAGGGAAAATGCAGAATGGGCCTATATATGAAGTTAAAGGAATTGATCTTGTTGGAGATTTTTATTACAGCTTATTATTTCTAAGTTTGAAGTTTTCTTTCTGCAGTCCCTTTCAACATTCTTCTTTTCTGTTATCTGATGTGTTTATTGCTTGATATAATTTGTGGTTTGTGGTCTGTATTTTGCGTGCAATTGAATACCGTAGGAAAATGCAAGATGGGACTAGGTGTGGAAAGACAAAATTTATGTTGTCGGAGATCTCTATAGTTCCTTATTAGTTGAAGTTGCGGTTTCATACCAGATGGCTTCATGTTGCTGCAATCCATTTTTGCTATGTACTTTCTTATAGTCTGAACTTATTTTATCATTATCTGTATTATATTTTGGGATTTTAATGTGATTTATGTTATCATTTCTCCGACTGTTGATACCTGTGGATATTTTTATGCAGAGTTAGTTTTGCTGTTGAGATGTCCCAATATCAAGGTAGTGATATTGATGAAGTGGCTGATGAATATAACATTGGTGAAATGGTGGATATGGATGATGAAGTTGATGATGAATATCACGAAAGAAGAGGGGAGTATTCGGATTCAGATGATGAAGATTTTGAACTATCTGTATGTTGATGTTCCTTTTTCGTTTTCAACTTTGGCTGAATCTGTTTGTGTAGGGTTTGGTTGGGATCATTTTTGGCTTTTTATAAAAACATGTTTATCAATATATTTTATCAATATATTTTTTACGTTTTTTTTTTCAAGCCAAATCATTTTTTTTTTAAAATATTCAAAATAATTTTTAAGGTATTTTGAATATTTTAAAAACAATGCAATATTTGAACATGACAAATAGACTTTATTTCTATATAAAATATGAACAAAATAAAATAAAAAACAGAATATAAAATTCAAAAAATTAAAGTGTCAAATGGCCTCTTAGGTATCTTCTTTTGCTCACCATTAGGTGTTTGTTTCTTTTAATTCCCAGTTTTCAGATTGTTGCTGTAATTTCTGGAGGCTAAGAATCTATTCTATTCATATTTTCTACTGGAGTAGATTCTTTTTCTATTCCATAACTTACGTTTCATAAGCACTTGGCAATTTATTAAGAACTTGTCTCCCGCAGAATGGCAGGATAACAGATACTACTGCAGCACAAGCACGAAGGGGGAAGGATATTCAAGGAATACCTTGGGATAGGCTAAATATAACTAGGGATCAATACAGACAAACTAGACTAGAACAATACAAGAACTATGAGAACATTCAGAATTCCGGAGAAGCATCAGAAAAGGTTTATAAGTCACATAAATTTTTTTTAAATTATTTTTCCATGCGTTTACACTAATTTCCTATGCATTTTGTGTAGGGATGTAAAGCAACTGAAAAAGGTGGCAATTATTACGAGTTTTGCTGCAACAGTAGATCTGCTAAATCAACTATTCTTCATTTTCAGGTGAGCAAAGTTGTTATACTCGAACAATATATCCCGACTTATAATATTCTTTTGTTGCCCTGAGTCTGATTTTGAAATTTTTAGTTAGGTTGCTAATTTTTTACTTATTTCTTTTGGTTATGATATTTTTTAAAGGATGAAATGACACTGATGAACTAGGACTTATTAATGCAATGTATAGGAATTAATGATTCCAAATGTTAAAACAAAGGGCGAAATAACATGCATAAAAAACTCGCTATATTATAGATACTACAGATGATGATGTTCTTAGTATTGATTTTTCTTCATATTCTCACTGGGATAGTTTGTTGAGCCTGTTTCTGGTTGGACGTCCTGATTTTGCATTTTAGAAGTGGCTAATCGTACTTTGAAGGTTGTATAGAGCCCTTTTGTGGTGCGGGATGTTTTTGCTGTGCTTGTGGGCATATTTGAGACATATTGAGAGAGAGAGAGAGACACACACACACACCTTTGTTTATTGTTATTTTTATTTTAGTTTATGGAGGATATAGTCTACTTATTGAATGTGATGAAAACAGTTTGACGTGTGTCAGTGGAAAGATTTTTATTCCGTATAAATTTCATAGTAGAACAATTACAAGTTAAATGGAGGAGGATTGCTCTCATATTGAGCAAACAATAATTTCAGCGATAACTCCTATAATAAAAGAATGGAAACAAGAATTATAGCATAGCAATACTAGACGATACTAGGAGATACTAAATATTCAACAACACCTTTCAGGTTGGAGTATGGATATCTGTTATGCCCAACTTGCTTACAAGAACCTCAAAATTAGGTTTGAATAGTTCTTTGGTGAAGGTATCCACTATTTGTTGAGCATTGAAATAGCTCCACAATCAATCTTCTTTACGAATTGTCTCTCAATCTCTCCATGCTTTGTGTGATCATGTTGCACATAATTTTCTACGACCTTTAAGGTTGCTTTATTGCCACATTATAATTTCTTTTGCATGCTTATCGACATGTGCAGCTCTTCAAAAATTTTTATCAACCATAACATTGCATACTCCATTAGCCATAGCCCTATATTTTGCCTTAGCACTACTTCTTGCAATCACATTCTGTTTCGTACTTTGCCATGTGATTCGATTTCCCCATGCATAGGTGCAGGATGCAAATGTTGATCTTCTGTTAATAACTGAGACTACCCAATCTGTATCTGTATACGTTTTTATGTTTAGTTGTATGGTCTTCTGAAAGAATAAGCCTTTGCTAGTGTACTTTTTAGATATCTGAGAATTCTGTTGACTGATTTAAGGTGCCTCTCATTGGGCGAATGTGTTAATTGACTTACCAAGCGCACAACCAAGACACTAGTGGGCTGTGTATGTGGTAAGTATATTAATTCTTTCACCAATTTTTGATACCTAACCATGTTCATTGGATCACCTTCCCATCTCCTTGTTTCTGATTTGGATCAATAAGAGTGTTTGCAAGTCTACACCCACTCATACTAGTTTCCTTGAGAAGATCAAGCACATACTTCCACTGGGAGACAACAAGTTCTTTCTCCGATCGAGCAATCTCGATATCAAGAAAATACTGCAGAGATCCCAATTCATTGGTTTTAAATTTAGATGATAGGGAATTTTCTAAACGATTCATTTTATATGCATCATTTCCTGTGAGAAATATATCATCCCCTATGCACAACCAATATGAATATTTTCTCTTCATTGGAATGACTGAAGAATATTGTATGATTTTTTAGCCCTTGAGTGTAACCCTGACCTTTAACAAATAATGTAAAATTTTCTAGCCACGTTTTCGTTGACTGCTTCAACGCTTAAATGGATTTTTATCAGTTTACACACTTTTGTGCCAAACTTCTCAATAAATCTCGGAGGTGCATCAATATACTCTTCTTCCTTCAAAGTCAGTCAAGATTTGTTGCAAGTGACAGAAGAACCGTTATAGATTTGTGTTTTGCAACTGGAGCAAATGTCTCTAAATAATTAATGTCATAGGTCTTAGTGAATCCTTTGGCGATCAATCGAGCCTTTTACCGTTCTAGAAAGCTATCAAAATTATATTTGATTGTGAAGACCCATATCTTACCGACATTTGTCTTTCTTCTATGTAGATCAACTAATTCTCACGTGCCATTTTTTTCAAGAGCTTTTATCTCTTCAAAAATGGCCTCCTTCCGCTTAGGGAATTTCAGAGCATCCTGCACAATACTTGGAATCTCCATATATGACAATTGTTAGGTAAAAAATATGGAAAGTGGGTGAGAGATTTTCATAAGACACATAATTAGACAATGAATGTTGGGTTCAAGTCTTTTCCTCAATAGGAAGACTATACTCATTTAACTCGGGATTTGAACTGGACTCAGAGTCAGAACTAGAAGGCTCATAACTTAAAGAGGAGATGGCCTTAACGTGGGATAAATGATTAGCGATGACATTATTTCGTGGGTTTGTGGTTTTGGGCAGTGCAACGAATTCGTACATTATTTTTTTTGAGTTTTCTTTTGCTGCGATAGACAAAGTCAATTATTTACTACTGTCATAGTCCCTTTTCCTATTTTTTCTTTGTTACGAACATCATGAGATGTCATTGTAGTTAGTAATTTCAATATATAAAAAACTCGACACACTTTCTCCTGATAAGATTTTGCTATGATTTTTCATGTTGAACACTCAAGGTTAGTGATATACTATTTTGTTAGTCTTTAATTAAAAAATCCTGAAATTTAGTAGACAAATCTTTGTTTTATTCTCTCTTGAAAATGAGATGAAAAAGATAAGAGCTGTCGTGCAAGAAAGGATACATCGATGGCAACAAGCATTTTTTTAGTAGTGAGATCAAAGAATTTATTCCCTTTTTGGCCAGGAGCATAACCAACAAATACATTTTTTGGCTAGGCAAGTTTTCCTTGGTGATGAATGTGAATGAAAGCAGTACACCTGAATCTTTAGAGAAAGAGAAGATCAAAGTTGATTCACTTGAAAAAAAAAATTTGAAAAATTTCAAATGATTTTTCAAGGTTTAAGAGCTTATTGAGTGCTCTATTTATGAGAAATGTAGTAGTAAAAATTACTTCACCCTAAAGATATTTAGGCACATGATTTTTAAATAGTGAGGCCCGAGTTAACTTCAACAAGTGCTTGTTTCTTCTTTTAGCCAACCCATTTTGTTGTGGAGTGTCTACAAAAGAGTTTTTATGAATTATTACTTTTTCAAGAACGAGTTGACCCGAAGTATTTTTAAAATACTCTCGGCTATTATCACAGTGTTATATTTGAATGGTTGTTTGAAATTAGGTTTGTACTGTGGTGAAATTTTTTTTGAAAATTATTTTTATAATTTTTTTTTAAATAAACCCAACTTAACATAGTATGATAATCAGTGAAAGCCACAAATCATCTTTTTTCAGAATGAGTAGGGGTTTTGCATGGACCCCATATATCCTTATGAATCAAAGTAAATCGTGTAGTAGGTTTGTATATTTATGGAGAAAATGATGTGTGGTGTTCTTTATCAAACTTCACACTTCTCATTGAAACAATGACATATTTTTATTCTGAAATAATCTAGTAAATAGTATTTTAGATAATAATAATCTGGATGACCTAACTTATAATGTCATAACATAATTTTATTGTCTTTAGAAATGGAAACATAATTTAAACCAATACTTGGACATTATCTAGTCAAGCCATTTTCAAAACAATTGAGTTCATATTTTTTCTTAGCAGTATCATTTATCTTTCTCATAGTTAATTCCCGAAACTCACAACAAAAAGAATATAAATTAGCTTGGTATTAATGACCAATAGTAATTTTACCAATAAACAACAAGTTACATGATAGATCAGGAACACAAAAATATCTTGAAGGGCTAATAATGAGGAAAGTTTAACAGTTCCTATTTCGACGAATGCGGAAATCATCGATAATTTTGACATTTTTATTGCCAACACGAGGCCTATAGGAGGAAAATAATTTAGAACAACCTGTCATATGATCAGTTGCGCCAAAGTCAAGTATTAAAGATTGAGAAAATTAAGATTAAAATAAAACAAAGCAGTGGCCAGAGAGTTACTCTTTTGCACTTAAAAATATAACAGCGTCGCGGATAATTGTGGAGATTGAAATAATTTTTGTAAGTGCTTTAATTGCTCCTTGGTGAAAGAGATTGCATTCGAGTAAGCAGGTGGCTTTTGCTTTCGCTTAGCCGTGCTTGATAAACTCGATCTTTATGCTTGGATGTTGATTTCCATTTACAGGTTTTCCATGAAGCATCCAACATGTCTACTTCATGTGCCATGGTTTTTTGCGACGCTTGAACCATGATTTTTTTCTTTTTCTTTGCCAGTATCATCCCCTCTTGACACAAAGATCGAGTTCTCTTGTTCAATGTTCAATGTTACTAGATTAGGTGTTGAACAAAATTTTTCTTATGGACTCTTCATGTTGCGCTTCAAAAAAGACTTCTTCAATTGAGGTTAGAGGTTTCTACTGAGGATTCAACCTCGAACTTCATCTAAACTTCGATTAAGGCCAGTTAAGATCATGTAGACCCAACCATTTTTCCCTCTTTTCTTGTGGTGAGTATATTCATATGAATTCTCACAATGTCATCATAATATTGATCGGACTTTTTTTATAATGTTACCAATTCATTGTAATACATAGTAACATCGCATTCATTTTGTTTGGATTTCCAAAGGTGAGTTTTCAACTCAAAAATTTGTGAAGAATTCACTAAATTTGAATAGAGATATCGAACAACGTCTTAGATATTTGGAGTAGTGGGAAGGAATAGTTGTGGTTTTTCTATGGACGGTTCCATGGAATTGATAAGCCATGCCATTACTAGAGAATTTTCGGACTGCCATATTCTCAGATTCGTTTAATTAATAGTAGTTTTTGGAATTATTTCAGTTAAATACCTAATTTTGCCTCTTATCGATTGACAAATTTATAGTTGTGCCCACTCGAGATAATTGTGTCCATTAAGTTATATAATTGTGAGGTAGAAAATATTCACTTGAAATACTCATTAGGGGAGCTGTCAGGTGAGGTACGATGGTTTCAGAATTACTAAGGTCAGTGGATGTGGTAGAATTTCTTTGAACTCCAGTTATCATTGTTGATTTGTATGACATCCACTAAACCCAAAAACTAAAGAAAAGAAAAACTTGATAAAAAATTGTGCAAAACTACTTTACGCTGTGATCAAGAACGGCGTGAAACATCTGTACGTTGCAATCAATTCATTTTCCTGCGTGAGTCGCAGAAAACTCCTTTACGCAGCCCGATCGTTGTTTTCGACCAAGAACGACATGAAATTCTTGTATGCTGTGATGTAGTCGTTTCCTTCCTAGTGAGCCTTAATCGAAATAGATGGCGAGGGGTCACGAAGCAGACATCACAGACAAAGAAGGCACAAATCTAGTCGATGCGGTTTGCTGTAGATGTCGCAAACGAAGAAGCATAGACTTCATTTGATGCAGTTCTCTATAGATGCCGCAGAAAAAGCCAAAGCAGACAAAGAAGGCGCAGCCACGGTTGGCGCAGTTCGCAGCAGATGTCGTAGATGAAGAAGGTACATACGTTGTTTGACGCAGTTTGTTGAAGATGCCATAGAAATAACCGCCGACGATGCAGACGTAGATGAAGCCGAAGCAGACTATGTCGATGGTAACATTCGAAGCAAGAAGAGGACGATGATGTCGAGGAAGCTGGAACAAGCTCTAGCCAAAAAAAAAATAATGAATTCCAAGGCTAACCTCCTAAAGCTATGATAGCATGTAATTTTTGGATGGGAAAAATTATTATGGATGAAACTGAAAGCGAAAATTTGGCTATTGGCAATTCATGTAATTATTCTCCCATTTTATTTTATTTTATTTTATTTTTGATAGACGGTTATATCTGCTACTCAAGGCTTATGATTTGAAGTTTTGCTGTAAGCAAGGGTTCTATGAACCTTATACACATTGAGTTTCCACTCAACAGTCAATCCTAGAAAATAAGATTTAGTTAATTTTAAACAAATGCTTTCCTTTCTTTTACTATACAAATAATGATTGCAACACATTTCTCTATTCATTCGTTTGAAATTCTATTTCGCCAGCAGTGGAATTTAATCATGTTACTTTGCACTTGATACTAATTTATATAGTGCTGGCAGGGAAGATACAATCTTGCCAGTATAGTTTCTTTCTCAGAATAAAAATAATTTTTTTGTTGATGTGTGATTCCATGAAACTTACCAGAGATCATTGTATTTGCAGTTACGGAATTTGGTATGGGCTACATCAAAGCATGATGTATATCTCATGTCACACTATTCTGTGATTCATTGGTCGGCATTAACACAAAAAAATAATTTAGTTATGGATGTTGCAGGACATGTAGCGCCATGTGAAGTATGTGTCATATGTATTCATTGAGTTATGTTTTGCTTATTTTTTCGGTATATTCATTTTGTTTGATTAGGATCAGTTCAGATGGAGTTTCTCCTCATATGAGGACATTTTATCTGTTGCAGAAACACCCTGGAAGTTTATTGGAAGGATTCTCTCAAACTCAAGTCAGTACACTAGCTGTGAAGGACAAGCTGCTTGTAGCTGGTGGATTTCAGGGGGAACTCATTTGCAAAGTAATCTCCATTTTACATTATTTGTTGCTGTTTTCATGAATTATAATAATTTCATAACGTATTGCAAGCAGTTGATGAGTCAATGATGCATTCGGGTGGGCAATTATCTACCCTTCTTCAAAATACATTTATACTATATATATATAATTGTGTGTGTGTGCGTGCATATGTATGCATATGTATGTATATTCATATATATATACATTTACATACATATATATGTATATATATAGATATACATACATATATATGCTCTGTTAGGGTTCGCCTATCTCATAGGCGATCCCTGGTTTTTTCTGATTCACTACATTTTCATCGAACTATTTCGCCCTTGTTCGTCTTCGTCGCCAGTCTTTCTCCGTCGCATCGCAACGGCTTTGTCTTCCCGATTCAGCGGCTCTCTCGACAGGTTGTTGGGCTCGGGGGCGTTCGTTCAACGGGTTTCGTCGTCCCATTTCAGCGGCTCTCAGTTGCCTCTCGCTACGGCTTTTGAAGGACGTCTGGGCGTGGGCTTCTGCGGCTCGTTGTCGTCCCGAGAAGTCTTGGTGGGGGGGTCTCTTAGCTGTCGCTAGCTGGTTGTCTGCAGCTCACAGAGGGGCTTTCCTTCGCTCCTTGCTCCCTGTTTGGTTTCGTAATTTGCTCTCTGCACCTCCATCTATTGGGGATGACTTCGGACAGATTGTATGCTGCTGCCATTGCGGGTGCCCAAGCCTCAGGTCCACCTAAATCGTGCTATTTTTCTCCTTCATTTGAGTGGGATGAAGACATTAATAAACCTGGTAGGAAGAATAAGAAACCTACCATCTTTTTTACAGAAGCTGAATGTATTCAACTTGCTTCCTCCTATTGTCTGAATTTGGTCGGGAAATTTTTGTACGGGAAATTTTTGTATGACCATGAAATTTTTGTATGACCATCCCAAAATAGAGTTGATTTGTAAGGAATTTGAGCTTATGCACCTTGTCAAAGATTGAAAAATTGGACTTTAGATGGAAGACACACTCTTATTCAACTTAATAATGAAGAGGATCACACACGTTTATTTGTTAGGAAGATTATCTGGATTGATAACAGAGCAATGAAGATTCTAAAATGGTCTTTGGATTTTGACCCGCAGACGGAACCACCAATCATTTCGGTTTGGATTCATCTCCCTTGTTTGAAATTACATTATTTCACTCAAAAAGTATTGTACTTTATTGTCTCAGCTTATGGTAAGCCATTTAAGATAGACATTCCTACTTTTAATCTTTCCCGCCCATCAGAAGCCAGAGTACTTGTTGAAAGGGACATCACTTCATCCGCTTCTGAGGAGTCCGCTTCTGAGGAGATTTGGTTTGAGGAGATTTGGTTGGGCACACAACACTATGGATATTGGCAAAAAATAGTAATTGAGTCTTTTCTTTCTTACTGTTGGAACTGTCGTATGTTTAGTCACTCTAGTTCTCAATGCCACCATCTACACCCCCAACTCAGACAAAAAAAAAGCAAAGTGCTCCGCCAGAGGCAGAGAATCGAACTCCTGTTCTAGAATACCCCTGAAAATTATTGACACGATTGATCATCAAAAGGATACCCCTGAAGACGTCACTAACCTCGCAGACAATATGTCAACCATTCAGTCTTCATACAATGTTGTAGCTCTCCCGTCTTTGGAACTTCCAATAGTGAGGGCGAAGGAGATTCTTCAGACCCCACATGTTCTAGAACATATCACTGATATTACACGTGGGAATACTTCTACTATTTCACTACCACCTCATCAGGTCGAGCAAAATGTTAATGTTTTTCAGACTCATGGGGATCATGATGTGCAACAACCTACACCTGTCCGACCACCTTTGGAACAATCTATTGACCAGATGAGTCAATCCTCTGATGAGGAATAACAAGTCTACACATCCAGGAGGAAGAAGAATAATGGAGACCTACTTGAGCTCAACAATCTGATGGAGGATACTTTGGTTACTTCGGGTAATGGTATGCATCTTACTAATCTGTTAGCCGACTTCCTTCCGAGAACTAGAGGCAGAGGGAAGACTAAAGTAAGACGTCTCTAGCACTTTTGCGCCCGTTGGTGGCTTTTTGGTTTTTTATCCTTCTGTATCTTTGTTTTATTTGGAATTGTGTGCGTTGTATTGTGTGAGTTGGGCTTTCTTTTAGGCCCTCTCATGCAACATATCTGTCTCTTTTCCTCTTTAATATATTAGTCCTTGGGCTTTTTCTAAAAAGAAAAATATACATACATAAATATATATATATATACATTTACTTACATACATATACATACATATGCGCGCGCGCGTACACACACACACATACACATATACATATACATATATGAGTGGATGTGGATACAAAAGTTTTAGTGAGTACAAAGAACTCAACTCAAAGGGATTACAAACGTATTTCCCAAAAATAAATAAAAAGAAATAACTCCTAATCATTGTGGGTATAGTCGGTGAATATACCGCTTCCCCTTCCCTTGGATCTGGGGAGGGAGTCCAGCAACATTTTGAGATGTGGGCTTCCGCCCGACAGAATGATACAGTCATCCTGAGATTTGTTGAGATTTGACAATCCTTTCTTCTTTTTCCGAGATTTGTAAACCTGCCAATCATCTACTAGAGGTAGTCCCGTGTGAATAATAGGTGAATCTTCGATGGAGGTTAATTGTTGATCTGACTCAGCTTGCAGCACACCTTGATTCTGACGCTTCTCCATAACTTAAGTACCCTCTTCTCTCGCAATAGGTGGTTCCAATAGTTGGAAGACACTAGCATCTGCTAAGACAAAATTCGTAGAATTTGTAATCTGAGGAAGAGCAGCCTCAACAACAGTAGTTGAAAGCTGCTGGTCTGGTTGGTGAGGAGTAGCCTTATGAGTCAAATTCTCATTCAACATTTCTGGAAGATTAACATTGTCTGTTATATTTTCCTCCACATGGATGATGTTGTTAGGACCTGTCGATCTCAAATGTGGGTGAAGCCTGAATCATTTGATAGGGGTGTGCCCAAACAGTTTACAGTGCTTGCAATTGTAGGGTCTTTGTTTTGGTATAATTGGCTGCCAATACCCATTGTGGACAATACCAAATTATATTTCATCCACATCAGGGAGGGTGATATCCCTTTCAACAAGAATTCTTGCAACCGAAGGCCTGGTTAGATTGAAAGTGAGTGTATTTAATTTCATAGGTCTTCCTAGTGCAACTCCAATAGAGTAGAGGACTTGGTGGTTGAAGTAGTGTAACGTTAGGCCAGGTAGTTTAAACCAGATTGGAACTATAGGTGGCTCTTTACTAGGGTCAAATTCAGGAGACCACTTAAGCAGTTTCATATATTTTCCCTCTATTGTCATAAATTTTTTGGAAAATATTTTGGCATAGTCTTCCACTTTAGATAATTGTATCATCATATGTCTCCCATCAAAGAGACCAACCTTTCAAATTCCCAATAGTTTGAGATCTTCAAAAGCCGTTCGAACGATTTCCATTTTGGGATGTCGCGATTGGAACTTCCCAATGAGAGTAAATTTAAACTTGTTAACCAGGTTGGAAATTTCAACATCAGAGAAGTATATAACCAGTTTTCGACTCTTCCTACCCGTCTTCTTGATAAGGTTGCAATCCTCCTGACCTTTGAATGATTCATGGTAAATCTGAGGGAAAACCTGATCTGATCCCATAGAGCCAACCATATCAACAAAGGAAGCCTTCCCAAGGTTTAAAACTATAGTAGTCGGTGGTTGAGAAGGAGCAATAGCCGTGGAAGGGAGTTGAACAGCTGCAAGCTACTTGAGTCTGGCTGCGAGTAATTCACAGGACGGAGGTAAGTGCAACAGACAGAGCCACAGAGCTGCAGAAGTCGGAGCCGCAGGAGGCGCAACTGAGAATTGCGACGAAGAAACCGGGAGAGCCGAACGAAGTCGGGAGCCGCAGAAGCGAGGCGCAGCTGACAGACACGCGACACTTAGACCGTGACAATGCGCAACGGACGGGAGCCGCAGAAGCGCTACTGCAGGGCTGATAGACTGGCGTAACAGTGCGTGACGAAGAAATCGACGCCAAACGACGCAGACGAAGCACAATGGAGAAGAGATGCGACGAACTGCAACCGACGAGGAGACCAGGTTTCGCCTGAAGGCGAGACCCTAGCAGAAAGAAATCGGAATAGACGACATTTATAGATATGTATATGTATATATACAATTATTTTGAGTTTAGATTGCACCGACGAAACTAGCTAAAGGTTATAAAGTTACATAGAATAGGCGGTCTAAAGTTCTAATAAGCCATAACATAGCTCTGAAAATCATTAAAGTGGAGCACTGCTAGGTGATAACAAAAAGGCTTAATTAATTATGAATTCTATTCCATGAAAGAGATGGGAGATAATGTCTTTTGCAGGAGGGTAGAATCAGCTTTGTATCCTGCTGTATATGTCTCAGAAATTGAAAAATAAAAGAAATAGTTTATAAGAAATTAGATGAACATACATTTTTTTTATGAAAAGCCCAAGGGCTGATTTTATTGAAATAGAAAAGGATACATAAAGATAGTATGAGAAGAGCCCAAAGGAGGCACCCTACCATACGATACAAGTACAATAATACCAAATAAAAAAAATACAGATAGACTCAATAAAATGTAAAACAAATTTAAAACATGCAAAAAACAAGTAGCTAGGGATGAGCCAGTTTAGTTCTGCCTCTTCCTCTAGTTTTAGGAGCGAAAGCATATAACAAACTTTGAAGAGTCGTGCCATTGCCAGGAGTCACCAAAGTATCATCCATTAAGTTTTCAAGTTGGAGTGAGCCCCCAGCCTTCTTCCGCCGAGAGGTGTAAACCTGTCATTCTTTATCAGAAGACTGCTCATGTGATCCTTGATCTGATTTGATGGTAGCACCGCAGTAGGAGGAAAGAAAGTCGTTGCTACCGCGATAGGTTCCAGTGTATGTGAAGTGTGAATTGTTACCTTTGCACTTGATGCTTTCTGAAT